ATAATAATGCTACATCAAAGAATACATAATATTAAATAAAAATATTATAATGAAATATAATATGGTATAAATTTAGTATAAGTAAACATAATCTAATGTTAAATATAATTTCCTCCAGGAATTCTATGATGAATGGCCAGTCAAGCTTGGAGAAGTGGAGCCTTATAAAGGTCCAAAGACACCAGATGGCAGAGTTAAGTGCAAACATCTTCCTTGATGATACCTGTGTGGTTTTCAGGCGCTAAAATTATGAGGCAGTGATGCATAGAGAAACGAGTACTGGCCTGGGAAGGCCTGGATACTAGTTCTGTAACCTTCTGTGGGACCCTGGAGAAGCAGGAGGAGTGATGGACAAGGAGTTTGAAGTTCAAGTTCCAGCTGTGCCCCAAGCCAGCCGGGTGGCCTTTACCTTAACCTGTCTGTTTCGCTTCCTGTAGAGCCAGGGCTGAGTAGCTCAGTGGTTCTCATTAGGCGGGAATACATCAGAACTTCCTGTGCAGTTCTTTAGACACACTGGTACTCAGACCCTTTTTCAGAATTTAAATCTCCAGGGTGCTGTTGGGTTAGATTTACTTTCCGCAGGAACCGTGCTTATTTTACTCACCACTGTCTCCCAAGCACACAGGAAAGGGAAGGTCATGGGATGGAATGTGTCCAGACCTCAGGGTCTTCATCTGCCAAATGAAATGGATGGACTAGTTCTCAAGTCTCTTCCGGCTTTGACAATATATCAGTCAGATTCTGTTTCTGAGGGACCTGTTCAGATTAGCCAGTGCTGGAAGGAGGTTTAAGTTTTCATTGTACAGATGGGAGGGGAAGCATTAACCAAGGTTGAGAAATTACACGATTTGTTCAAGTGAAGTTATCAATATTAAGTGCTTCTGGACAACAGAAAGGGATCAGTTAAAAGTAAGGTAAGCACACAGACTAGCTGGTGATTTGAAAGCTAAAGATTTCCCTCAAAAAGCTGTTTGGTTGAATTCAACTCTTAAAAACTAAATTTAGTTAAATGGGCTTGTGCATGTAGATGAATAGCCAATATTTCCAGTGTAATTATAGATTTGGTAATTTATGTTATGCTGAAAAAATATGGTTGGGAAATAAAATACTATGTGCTTGAAAGAGTTATGAAATGATGTTTTAAAGTATAAGTTCCTCAATGAAAACTGTTTCCCTTGGGAAATAAGATTACTCTCATCATCTCCCCTGCCCTTCTTAGGAAATCATCTTTTATAAAGTCATTGATTACATTTTACATGGAAAAGAAGAGATCAAAGTGATTCCGTGAGTATTAAAATGAAGCAGGTGCATGGGTTGCCATTTTTATCTTTGTACACAGTGCATTTGTCCATATAGCAATGATTTTCTTTCCTCTATTCTTCTTAAAGGACACCTCCTGCAGACCACTGGACTTTTGTTAGTGGGTTGCCTACATATGTTGCTGAAAATGGATTGGTAAGTTATTAAACACATTCACATTTTAAATAATATTGCATGAAAATCTTATTAGATAAGATATACATATATAGTGGAAGGGAAAGTGATCCAGATAAGGGTGAGATGGCCACTTCCTTTGGCTCTGGACATAAGAGAAAAGGCTCTTAGCAAGTTGAATGTAGGTTAACTAGAGACTTCTCAACTGTAAATGAAAATATTTAGTCAACATGAGAAAGATTCATCCATCCCCCAACTTCTTACTCTGCAGCCACACAAATTTCAGATGTCCCTGAATTCATTGACTATGATTCATACTGGATTTAATTCTATCCCAAGTATAGTTACCTTAGTCAAGGCTTCTGAAGCATGGAAAATTACTGACAAAAGAAGAAGATATATAAAGAGAGAACTTTATCACTGACTGCAATGTAAAATGTACTGAGTTGATAAAGGAAGTGAAGATTTTCCTCCTTGTCTGTTGGGGGATGGTGGTGGTGAACAGTGGGCCAAACCTGGCTAAGGGAGGTAAAGAGTGGGAAGAAAACTAAGAGGGCTGCGGTGTGCCCCATGGGTCTCATGGGAAAGAGGACCAGGCCACCGTAGCTTTCCACTCCACCTCAACCATACTTTCCTTCTTTCTCATGGCTGACTTCTCTCCCTGGCTAGGCTTCTCCACCATTTGTGTAGATTTTTGACACCAAGATCCCTCTCTAAGAATGTTCTATGGTTTCAGTATTTCTTTATGTTGACATCTTTCTTCCCAAAGTGATTTTCAGAGAATTGATCTTGGGCTGTTTCCTGAGGCTCCATAATTAAGGTGAACATACATCCCAGTTTACCTGGGACAACTTTGGGTTATGCCTGTTGTCCTGGTGAGTTATGAATATTCCTCCCCTTCACTCGCAAAATTATCGTCCTATACTATGTACTTACAGGAGGCAGAACCTAACTTCGGCAGTATTAATGCTTGGGACTAGGTAATTCTGTGTTAGGAACCCTGGTGACACAGTAGTTAAACACTCAGCTGCTAACCAAAAGGTCGGTGGTTCGAACCCACCAGTTGCTCTGCAGGAAAAAAGAACTGGAGATCTGATTTTGTAAAGATTACAGCCTAGGAGGCCCTATGGGGCAGTTCTACTCTGTCCTATAAGGTCACTATGAGTCAGAATTGGCTCTATGGCACACAACAACAACACAATTCTGTGTTGTGGGGAGCTGTCTTGTGCATTGTAGGATATTTAGCAGCATCCCTGGCCTCTACCCATTAAATGCCAGTAGCACCACTCCCACCCCTGCCCCCAATTGTGACAACTAAAAATGTCTCAGATATTGCTAAATCTTCCCTGGAGGGCAAAATCACAATGGTTTAGAACCGCTGGTCTAGAGGATTATATCAAACCATTTTGGCAGAGCGATGCTACTCCTGGGGGACCTGCTGTAATACATCAACCGGTTATAGTGAGAAGATCAAGAGGCTCTGACTCAGGAGTCCTGGGTTGCTTGTCTTGGTCCTGCCATTGGCCTTGGGGAAATCCCTTGACCTCGCTGAGTTTTAATGTTCTCATCTGTAAAATGAGGCTGTTGGTCTAATTATTTAAGAAATGAGGGCTTCAAATTTTTTTAAATTCTATTTTCTGGAAAATAAAAACAATCTACAATTTTAATCGAAATTGTAGGTATGTGATACTCCCCTAAACTGTGTGAAAACTCTGCCTTTTAGCTTTTAAAACTTTTCCCTTGATAACAATTTTCTCCTGAACTCTTTTTTATAGAGAGTAAAGGCAGGCTTTATTGTGACCTTGCCCAGAAGTCCTCATTATTGAGATCCATTAAGCCTCACTGGACTTAGGGAACATGGGCACACAAGTTCTCATTAAACCAATAAATCCCAGCTCTTAGTGGAGAGATGGCAGACTTCAGCTTAGTGATTTCTTATAGCTGAAAACATTAGACATTAAAAACAAAAAAAGTAGTTACATTTCTAGAATTGGAGATATTAAATAGAAGATCAACTAAGCTGGGATCAAGATGACATGCAAACTCAGAGACAGAGAGAGAATCTCTGAAGTCTAGTACTTAAAACGATGTTTCGCAGTGAACCTATACTTTGGTGTAACTGAAAGACTGTCACTCTTTTCTTCCCGTTCCTTAGCTAGCTGCTTCTAACCTACAGCCCAGACCAAAAAACAAAACATTACCTGCCCCCAGCAGCGTTGTCTTTCTGCTCAGCCTGCTCCTCTCCTGGCCTGAACAGCTAATTGCTTTGAATTTGAAAGGGGAACCCTTAAGAGGCTGAGAGAGTAGGAAAGAGTAGAGATTCTGCTAAATGTCACCCAATGACCCAATTAGCAGAAGTGAAGCTAACTTCAATGCGTTGTTAGCAAACCTGGCCTAGCTGAGGTCCAGGGTGAACAATTCTCCTGTGAACAGTCAAGAACTATGTAAGAAACCCTCTCTCCAGTTCTTTCTTATTCTGCGTTGTGGGTTTATTGGCTCCACCACAAGGTGTTTCAGAAGGACTTTCGTCTCCTCTTGCTTTGCAGATATGTAACATGCTGAATGCCCCGGCGGATGAATACTTCACATTTCAGGTAATTGCTCCCTTCCAGGCCTCACCTCTTTGAGGTGCAGCACTGTGGGGGCTCTCCCTTCCATCCTGAGCTGGTCTCATGCTCAAGTGTGGCCAGGAGGCACTCATGGGGCTTATGTCCTACTCACATTGGCTGGACTAGTGGCCAGCATGTAGCAGATTCTTCAGTGAAGGGAGAAGAGGTGAAGAGGAAGGAGGAAAAGAAGGGGGGAGAAAAGAGAAGGAGACACAGCATTTGTCACCCTGGCCTGGAGGCGGCCACTTTTCCATTCTCTCCCATTCCTGGTCATGTAGTGGCAAAAACAGTGAGTGTTCCTTGTATGAATGATTGGCTGGACACATTCTGTGTGCTGAAGTTGGCCCTTTTGGTGGTTTCCTCAGCAGTTGTTCCCTACAGCTTACTGCAGCTATTCTCAAGAGAAAAAAAAAAAAAAAATCTTACTGGGTTTTTGGGGCCTCTTCTGTTGCCAAGCTCTCAGTTTTATTCTTCCTTCTCCAACACTCCAGAGACGCTTCCTGGAGAATCCACACTCCCCTCACCATCCATCTAGCCCGGGAACCAGCACTCCTGGGTTCCCTTGCCTAGCTGGCCCACTTCACTTCCACGGCTTTCTCCCTGGGCTGGCTACAGGACTTGGGTGTTCATGCCTCCCCTTCCCAAGTTCATCCTGTCCACCCAAGGACGAGCCTGTCATCTCACACCTCCTCCCTCATCAGACTGTTGGGAAAAAAACTGTATTAGGGCTCTGAAACCTCTTCTTTTCTGCCTTCTGGTACTTGTTCTGTGTCCTGCGTTTAGCAAACTTCCAGTTGAAGCCCTAATCCCAGTCAGGAATGCAGTCAGACAGATCTGAGGCTGTCCTCCCCAGTCAGGACGACTCTTGTCTGTTTTTCTGGCTCTCACACAGACACACACACACACAGAGCCCCATCTATGCCTGGATGGAAAAGCCAGCATCTTGGGGGTGTGAGAGGTGTGTCCTTGGCAGCAGAGCCAAGCCAGGCCTTGCTCATCCCTGTGCTCACTGATACGGAAAACATGCAAACACCATATGGTTGCATTTGTTCTTGCTCCTTCCTCTTGCAGCCAAAGCCTACTTGTGACCACAACTGCACCCAGCCCTGATACCTATACTTATGGCAATTTGGTGCCAGGGAAGAATGCATAGGCAGGAACAAGGGGACACTGACCTTCTAAAGGGCCTGAACCTGAAGCAGTCATTGTCTAAACAGGAAGTGGGAGTGGAGCTAGTCCAGGAGAAATCAGGACTGCTCTTTGAGGTTTGAGGAGCCCTGCTTTCTCTGGGGCCACACTGTGGCTCCCACAGTGCTTTGAGCACCCTGAAAGAGAAGAAGCTGGGGAACTCAGGGAGTTCCCATTGTGGGGTAGACCTCCAGTTCATAGGAATTTCTCCACTCTCCAAGAAACATCAGTATGGCGCCCATGAAAGTGTTCTCAGATTTCCATCTATGAAAAGCACACCTGTCCAATGGCTGCCAATCTCTGAAACCTACTGCTGTGTTGGCACTGAGGCCACACTTCCCTGGCCTGCTCCTAGCCCATGACTGGGCACAGAGGGACACTAAGGCAGGTTCATTCCTGGGAGACTCCTGGGTTCGCCTGACAGGCAACTTGGGCCCTAGGAATCCCAAAGGACCTGTGAACTCTTTCAGAGATGCACTGTGGTCTAAGACACTTCCACCAACCAGCCTTCTATCCCTCCCTTTCTCCTCAGCCTGCATTATGATCTATCAGCCTCCTCAGGCTCCTTCCTCATTTCCCCTCACAGGCATCGCCCTGTCCATCATTCCACAGAGTAGACTCAGGATGGGGTGGCTGTCCTCCCCAATCCACCACCCTGCCTTCCTTGTCTCTCTCTGCCTCCTCATGCTCTACCCTTGGTCTGCGTTGTCAGAGTAGAACTGTGATCCATAGAATTTTCAGTGGCTGATTTTTCAGTAGATCACCAGGTCTTTCTTCTGAGGTGCCTCTGGATGGACTCAAACCTTCGACCATTGGGTTGATAGCTGAGCATGTTAACCATTTACACCACCCAAGGACTCTGCTTTAATCATTCTATTGCTGTTGTTAGGTGCAGACCAGTTGGTTCCAACCCACATGGACCCTATGTACAATAGAATGAAACACTGCCTGGTCCTGCACCATCCTCACAATCCTTGCTGTGTTTGAGCCCACCGTTGCAGCCACTGTGTCAGTCCATCTCACTGAGGATCTTCCTCTCTTTTGGTGACCCTCTGCTTTACCAAGCAAGTTGAGGTTTGGTTTTTATGCTTTTCATTCCAAGCCTAAGGACTACATCTTCAATTAATAAACAATTGTTTATTGAGCACCTAATATATGCCCAATCCTGACCCAGTATTTATGTGGACTTTAACAGTTCCTGCTCTTCATTAAGTTTAGAAAACACCATCAGAGACAAAATAAACAATTCTGAAGCATTTAGAAAATATCTAAATCTAAATTGTGTGGTCTTGGCTATAAGTGCTACTGGAATTCTGAAAAAAAGAAAAACAAAACTCCACACGGGTTGAAAAAGTTAGAGAAGGCTTCATGAAGGAGGTGAGACAACCTGAGCCTCTAAGGATGACTAAATAATCCGTGGGGAGGCAGAAGAGCAAAACTGTGGTAGGTTGACTGCTTGGCTACTTTTTTCTTGGCTACGTACTGTGCAGATGCTACCCCATGGTTCTCAAACTTCAGAGTGCATTAGAATCACCTGGGGAACTTATTTAAGACGTTGGATTCCTTACCTAATTATAAAACAAACTCAAAAAAATCTGTTGCAGGTGGTCCTTGGGCCACACTTTGAGGAACATTCCTAAATTTTTGCACCCGCATCCCCTAGTAGACTCTAAGCATCTTGAGGTTAAGGCCTGTGATTTATTCATCTTTGCACCTCCAGCAACTAGCCTATTTTCTGGTGCATCAGGGGTTTGACATATGCTTGCTGAGTTGTATGCACCATAGCACACAGACCATCTTGTTGGAAAAGTCAGGAAAACAGAAACCACACTAGATATTTCAACAGAGAAAACTGAATATCAGAAAATAGGTAAGCAGGTGCTGGTGGACAGAAAAACTGTATAGGGGACACTGAGCTAACACAGAGGTAAGAACTGCAGAAGCACTTCTCACCCTTAGGGCTAGGGGAACCAAGAGAAGAAGTTAGGGCTGTCAAACCTAGACTTTTGGTTCAAGCACACCTGATTGGATGTATTAGAATACTTACTATGGCTGTATAGTCCTAGCCATGATCTTCTGACACAAAATGAGAGTTGTGCATCTTAACAACAAAACATTATCCTTTCTCTAAATTAAAAGCAACCCAAGTAGGGGTGGTGGTAGTTATACAGAGATAGCACAAAGGAACCTTGTGGGATACTTCTATATCTTGATTCTAGTGGTGGTTGCACAAAATCTACCCATGATAAATTTGTATATAACAGCACACAGAAGTGCATATGCTGTTATTAGTTACTGTCAAGTTGGCTCCGAGTCATGCAATCTTATGCGTAACAAAACAAACTATAGCTGGGTCCTGATCATTGGTATGTTTGATTCCACTGTTTTGGCTATTGTATCAATCCATCTCATTAAGGGTTACCCTTGTTTTCGCTAACCCACTACTTTACTAAACATGATGTCTTTATCTAGCAATTGTTCTTTCCTGATGATATATCCAAAGTAAGCAAGCCGAAGTCTCACCAGCCTTGCTTCTAAGGAGCATTCTGGTTGTATTTCTCCTAAGACAGATTTGTTCATTCTCCTGGCACTCCATGGTCTGTTCAGTATTCTTTGCCAACACCATAATTCGAATGCATCAATTATTTTAAAAATTCCCTTTTAAATGTCCAGTTTCACATGCATATGTGGGTCAGGTGCACCTTAGTCATCCAAGTGACATCTTTGCTTTTTAAAACTTTAAAGAGGTCTTTTGCAGCAGATTTGCCTATGCAGTGTATCGTTTGATTTCCCAAGGGCATATAAAACTGGTGAAATCATACTAAGCTCTGTGGGTTGTACCAATGTCAATATCCTAGTTGTGATTTTTTTTAAATTTTATTTTGTTGTTGTTGAGAATATACATGGCAAAATTCAACCGTTTTTACATGTACAGTTTAGTGACTTTTATTACATTTTATGAGTTGTGCAACCATTCTCATCCACCTTTTCTGAATTGTTCCTCCCACATTAACATAAACTCACTGCCTCCTAAGGTTCCTATCTAATCTTTCGAGTTGCTGTTGTCACTTTCATCCCATGTAGCTATTTCTTAAAAGAGCATAATGCCCCAGAGAATTTACAACAAAACTACTGGAACTAATAGAAGATTTCAGCAAAGTATCAGGATACAAGATAAACATACAAAAATCAGTTGGATTCCTCTACACTAACAGAGAAAACTTCAAAGAGGAAATCACCAAATCAATACCCCCAAGAAGATAAAATACTTAGGAATAAATCTAACCAGAGACGTAAAAGACCTATACAAAGAAAACTGCAAGACACTACTGCAAGAAACCAAAACAGACGTACATAAGTGGAAAAATATACCTTGCTCATCGATAGTAAGACTCAACATTGTGAAAATGTCAATTCTACCCAAAGCAATCCACAGATACAATGCAATCCCAATCCAAATTCCAGCGACATTTTTTAATGAGATGGAAAAACAAATCACCTACTTCGTATGGAAAGGGAAGAGGCCCCAGATAAGTAAAGCGTTACTGAAGAAGAAGAAGAACAAAGTGGGAGGTCTCACACCAACTGATTTTATACCACCTGTTATACCACCACAGTAGTCAAAACAGTCTGGTACTGGTACAACAACGGATACATAGACCAATGGAACAGAACTGAGAATCCAAACATAAATTCATCTACCTATGAGCAGCTAATGTTTGACAAAGGCCCAAAGTCTGTTAAACGGGGAAAAGACAGTCTCTTTAACAAATAATGCTGGGATAACTGGATGTCCA